GGAGCTCAAAGAGTTCTGGGAGCAACTCAGTGATCAGGGTTTCGACAACCGTCTCCAAACGTTCATCGACATGTTAGTACTTCTCTTCTGCTAAATGTTGTCATGGGTTCCTTCCTTCTGAACATAGGTGCACAGCACTTACCACCTCTTTGTTCAGGGTTGACAAAAATGCCGATGGGAGAATCACAGTAGAGGAGGTCAAGGAGGTTAGTCACAACTCACAAGACCCCAAACTGAAAAGATCTAGTCTTAGTGAGTAAACTTGAAGCATATATTAAGCAAATGATGCACGCTTTCGCAGATTATCGCCCTCAGTGCATCAGCAAACAAACTTTCCAAGATCAAGGAGCGCGCTGATGAGTACGCAGCACTCATCATGGAAGAGCTTGACCCTAAAAACTTGGGCTACATAGAGGTATTATGTTCAATCAAGTACATCCTCTGTTCTTTGTTCACAAAAAAAAGTACATCCTCTGTTCCTAAATATAAGACGAGGTAGTAACAATCAGAGATTCGCGGCATGGTTTCTTCCTAATTAACCACTCGATCTAACCGTTTACAGCTCGAGAGCTTGGAGTCGCTCTTACTGCAGACACCATCTGAAGCCGTTGCAAGATCGACCATCACCCACAGCTCCAAGCTCAGCAAAGCTCTTAGCATGAGGCTCGCGCCTAGCAAGGACACAAGCCCACTTCGCCACTACTGGTTGCAGTTTACCTTCTTTGTAGAGGAGAACTGGAAGCGCATATGGGTCGCGGCTCTCTGGATCTCCATCTGCATAGCCCTTTTCGTTTGGAAGTTCATCCAGTACCGCAACCGAGCTGTATTTAACATCATGGGCTACTGTGTGGCCACTGCAAAGGGTGCCGCCGAGACCCTGAAATTCAATATGGCCCTCGTCCTTTTTCCTGTCTGCCGAAATACAATCACTTGGATCCGATCGAAGACAAAGATTGGAGCTGTTGTACCCTTCAATGACAACATAAACTTCCACAAGGTAATGTAAATAAGTGGTATTTCTGCATTAAGTAAGGATATATCCTGAGAATAACCTGCTGACGATGTCTGATAGATAATTTAGCACTTAACATAGCTAGCACTTGTATGTTACCATTGTGCAGGTAATAGCAGCAGGGGTTGCAGTTGGTGTAGTTTTGCATGCAGGTGCCCATCTGACATGTGATTTTCCTCTCCTGCTCCATGCAAGTGATGCAAAATACGAACCAATGAAGCCTTTCTTTGGGGAGACAAGGCCACCAAATTACTGGTGGTTTGTAAAAGGAACTGCGGGGTGGACAGGTATTGTCATGGTAGTGCTCATGTCAATATCCTTTGTGTTAGCCCAGCCATGGTTCCGACGTAACAAGCTCAAGGACACTAATCCACTCAAGAAGATGACTGGTTTCAATGCCTTCTGGTTTACACACCACCTGTTTGCTATTGTGTATGCACTGCTCATCGTACACGGAACAAGTCTGTATCTGACCAAGGAGTGGTACAAGAAAACGGTAAAAGTCTATCTATGCCCTAATAATGCCAATAGAGAATTCTAATGATCAGAATTATTGATAAATTTTCTTACTATTTTCAGACATGGATGTATATCGCTTATCCTGTCTTCCTATATTCATGCGAGCGCATCGTTCGGTTATTCAGGAGACATGATTCAGTTAAGATTCAGAAGGTACCACCATGACGAAATCCCTTTCATATGGCTTTTCATTGTTTGTCTTTTTGACCTTAAAATTAAATAATCGGACACAAATTTACTGTCTTTTCTTTTAAATATAGTGCACCTTAATATGTGCCAAGCCATTTAACATGGGAGATGGATTGCTGAACAGCAAAGAAGCCTTAAATTATTGAAAATTCTGAATTCACTCTTTCTTAGCCTTTAATTTTTGTATCCTAAACAGGTTGCGGTATATCCTGGGAATGTGTTGGCTCTTTATATGTCCAAGCCACCTGGTTTCAAATACAGGAGTGGGCAGTACATCTTCATAAATTGCGGCGCTGTATCTCCATATGAATGGTACCCAAGCCACACACTTTGAGAAAAAGAAAACAGTTGCATTAATATAATTATGAAATCAGCAGATGACTAATAGTATGGAAAAAATGTTCTATCACAGGCATCCATTTTCCGTTACATCGGCACCAGGAGATAATTACCTCAGTGTCCACATTCGCACAAGGGGTGATTGGACTTCTCGGCTTAGGACTGTCTTCTCTGAGGTAAATCAGCCTTTTTGGGTCTTTGGTTTGTCTAGTGACCACATCCTGTTGGAAGTTTGTGTAACCGGAGAAACATGTCAAAGGATGTTTTGGAGAACGAATAGAGATATGCCAATAACAACGTGTGACAGAATTACCTATAGGGGGTGCTTCAAATACTTGTTGTCCCAAATGTAGCGTAATCTTGCTTAAAATACTTAGATGTCTGAAGCATTGTGAATTGTTAAGGTTTTGATTTTTCATATCAATGCCACTGCTCTACTTGATGGAACTGATAATAACCTTAAATGTAAACCAGGCGTGTCGGCCTCCCACTGATGGAGAAAGTGGACTCCTTAGAGCTGACCTCTCCGTGGGAATCACTGACAGCAACGCAAGGTGAAAAGGAACTTCTTCAGTTGCTTCAAAAAAATGTTTAACCATGCAATATATATTTCAAACTCCTTTTTCTGATCCCAAGCTTTGTTTGACATGTACTAGATTCCCTAAACTTATGATCGATGGACCATATGGTGCTCCAGCACAAGATTACCGGGAATACGATGTGCTGCTGCTCATCGGACTTGGCATCGGAGCCACCCCTTTGATCAGCATTGTGAAGGATGTGCTTAACCACATCCAGCGTGGGGGATCGGTTGGCGGAACAGAGCCGGAGGGCAGTAGCAAGGGAAAGAAGAAACCATTCATGACCAAGAGGGCCTACTCCTACTGGGTCACAAGAGAGGAAGGCTCCTTTGAATGGTTCAGAGGGGTGATGAACGAGGTGGCCGAGAAGGACAAGGATGGGGTGATTGAGCTCCACAACCACTGCTCGAGCGTGTATCAGGAGGGCGATGCTCGTTCCGCGCTCATCGTCATGCTCCAGGAACTCAACCATGCCAAGAAGGGGGTTGATATTCTGTCCGGGACCAGCGTCAAGACCCACTTTGCCAGGCCTAATTGGCGAAGCGTCTTCAAGCGTATCGCGGTCAACCATGAGAACCAACGCGTTGGTACGTCTTCTCGCTGCTGCCATTCTCACATTGATCTGGTACTACAAATGTTGGTGACTAGCTACCATCGATCGTCTGCTAACACACCTTAATATAATTCTGCTTCAGGGGTTTTCTACTGCGGCGAGCCTGTTCTTGTGGCGCAGCTGCGGCAGTTGTCGGCAGACTTCACCCACAATACAAACACAAAGTTTGACTTTCACAAGGAGAATTTCTAATTATATATACTATATGTAGCTGATGTAAGAGCATGTCCATGTATGGTCTGCACCATAATAAGGTACAGACGCTTTATCACGAGAAATGGTAATACAGGTTTTTATTTGGACTGGTTTAGACGCTTTATCACGAGATCTCGGTTACTGAACAAATCGCGAAACTGGTGACACTTTGGGCTTGCTCTGCTCTAGGCTCTAGCTCCAAAAATATCACATATGAAAATCAACTCCGACAACAAAAAATCACATCTAAAAATCACCTTGAGCTGGGGAGGTCGATCGGACAAGCATGGGATTCCCAGAAGAACGAAAATAGCTCCATTTGGATTAGTGACAATGCAAATGCCACCTGTACCCTAATACACAATAAGTTCATTTCACAAGTGGTTTGCTAATCAAAATACGTAACAAAAGTACAGAGCAGTATACTACATAACCACAATAAGTACATTTGGATTAGTGACTTCGCCCACAATAAGTTCATTCTCCATGACAGCTGTATTTCTTCCAAGGGAATTACATAACCACAAGAATGTCATAAGAGTAACTCACTAAAGAACGTACGGTGCAAATAAAATTGCAGAAAAGGTGTCCGGTGTCGAGTTTCTAAGATGAACGAGACATTTCTGGGCGGGAGTGCATCAACGTAGCAAGGGCGGTAGGGGAATGCATGGTCCATGCCTCTAACTTGTTGGTGATGTTTCTCGGGATATGTGTAGCCTCCTAGATACTGCATTCTGGAAGTCTGGAGATGATATGTCCCCACCGTGTCACTAAATTTGAGAAGAAGCGCATCCTTGTATGGATGGAATCCGACAATACTGCAGCCCCACCCCCAAAGGTCTTCATCTGGAACTGTAATGTTATCATAGTTAATGAAGTTGTGTTCATCCGAGTTCCATGAGTAGTCGGAACCGTCTCTACTCTCCAATTGCTCCTCCTCCTCGTCCTCCTCATCATCATCACCATCCTCGTCCTCATCCTCATCGTCACCATCATCGTCATCGTCATCATCATCATCATCATCATCATCATCATCCACATAGCTATCTTGTTTTTCCTTCTCTTCACCTTGTGTCTCGTCATCATGATCATCATAGTCATCGTTGTCATCATCATCATCATCATCAACATAGCTATCTTGTTCTTCCTTCTCTTCACCTTGTGTCTCATCATCATTATCTTCTTGTTCATCCTCTTCATCTTGTGCCTCGTCATAGTTATCTTTGTCCTCTTCCTCTCCACCATCCTCGTAGTCTCCGGTCCCGTCATCGCAATCATCATCGATTTCCTCATTGTTGCCATCTTCGAATAGGCTGATTAAGTCTTTGTTGCCTTCAGCCAATTCCCATGTCATCCTTGGTTTCATCCTCGGTTCACTACTAAGATATTTCATCATACGGTCATGCTCTTTGAGGTCGGCACGGTGTGCCAATGTCCATCCCAACTGATCATCGGCCAACTCCATTAGATCCCATACTTCAAGCAGGAGATCATTGAGCACGGCATAGCGGATCCCTCTATTGCAACTCCCTAAGTACCTCGTTGGCAGTGCTCATTGACGCAATCTCTTGCGGCCATAAGGATGCCCTGGAAGCTGAACCATCTGGCATGTCCCCTCCGAGCAACGCAGGATCACGAGGACACCACTATGGCAGTGCACGTAGAGTGAGCCATGCCAGTACTCGGCCGACCACCACGTGCGCAGATCCTTATAGAGCGGCGTGGTCACCACATCGTACAGGTTTCCCGAGGCGCGGCGCCCTGGCGTGAACTTGCGGCTCTCCCACTGGCCTGTCCGTGAAGAGAACACCAACACGTGGAATACATTCTCCTTGGGCACCTTTTGGTTGGGCTCTTCCTTAGATTCAGAGAATGGTTCGTCTTGTCCAAACAAGTTGGGTAGCCACGTGTCCTCCCAATCGATCCAGCACGGGCACGGTCGGCGTGTCCACTCATCTTGCTCATCGTTGCGATCTAGCTTTTCCGTGGGTAAGAAGAACACCTCGTAGTGCCGCGACACGGCCGGGTCAAAGGCGAGAAACACGCCCTCGACGCTACACGGCCAGCGTGTCGGCGGACACGGCAAGCGGGCATACTGCGACGTGGCTCGAAAAGTGGCTGCAGAGGCCGAGCTCCACTGAGCTCTATATACATTTCTCAGCCAAAATACCTTTTCCATAACTCAAAAAAATCTGAATAAATGTTTTCATGTAGACATATACTTATAGTATACATGTACAAATTTTCATAAACATATATATTCATATGTGATGTATACAAAAAAGACAAATACACAGATTGAAATAGGCTTTTTCTTTGTTGTATTTGTGTCAGATTTTTGTCTTTTTTATGTAGCATGCAAATGATCAAATTAGTTACTGAAAATTTATACATACTTAAAGAATATGCATATGTATTTGTACAAAAAAAAATTGGCATTTTTAAAAACTTTTAAATGTATTTTGATATATTTTTTGGTAAAACGGGCTTCCTGGAGCCCGGTCTCTTCGACGCCTCACTCGACGTGGCTGGGTTGCACACGTATATCATATTAGGATTGAACGAGCGCTTCCCCGTGACGAGGAGCAAGCCGTTGGAGTGCTGCTTTACGATGCAATCCCAATGGTCCCAGAAGAGACGCCGGTAGCCGGGCACGTGGGCGTCGGCCGACGGCGATGGCGGCGGGCCGAAGAAGGCGAAGTCGGGGTCGTAGCCGTCGTAGGTGGCGAAGACGCCGGGGAACTCGCGCGGGAAGACCTGCGGGAGGAGGAGGGTGTGGGCGTGGGCGCCGACGAGGTCGCGCCACGCGCGGCAGACACAGTGGGACACGGCGAGGGCGTGGCCGGGGAGGCGCCTGAGGATTTCGAGGAGGAGGTCGCTGGGGAGGGCTACGCCGTTGCCGTCCATCACGCCGGCCAGGTCGCTCTCAAAAGTCGGGGTGGGCGATCTCGGGTACAAAGAGAGGAATAATAATGGGATCTGGCGATGGAGTTTTTTTTTTGTTCTTTTGCAAATACAAGC